TTCACTTCTGTCAGCTAGAAGTCACACTTTTCCTTCTTCGCATACAACTGGTGTTCACGAAGAGTTTGAAGGACAATTCTCAAGTGCTGCTCATGTTCTTCCCAAGTTTTCGAGTAAACCAGTATGTCGTCAATGAAGACGACCACGAACTGATCCAAGTACGGCCGGAAAACAAAATTCATCAGATCCATGAATGCAGCCGGGGCATTCGTCAACCCAAAAGGCATTACAAGAAACTCGAAGTGTCCATATCGAGTTCTGAAAGCAGTCTTCAGAATGTCTTCCTCCTTGATTTTCAGCTGATGGTACCCAGATCTCAAGTCAATCTTAGAGTAGAACTGTGATCCACCCAACTAATCAAATAATTCATCGATCCTTGGCAGTGGGTATTTGTTCTTCATAGTCACCCCGTTCAATTGACGGTAGTCAATGCACAACTAAAGAGATCCGTCGTGCTTCTTCACAAATAGCACCGGTGCACCCCAAGGGGAAGTACTATTCCGGATATATCCCTTTTCTGCCAGCTCCTCAAGCTGCGTTCTCAATTCCTTCATCTCCGCCGAAGCCATCCGATATGGAGGAATGGAAATAGGTGCCGTTCCCGGAACCAAATCAATACAGAATTCAATCTCCTGATCTGGCGGTAAACTAGGTAGCTCATCAGGAAATACATCTGTAAACACATCCATTACAGGGATTCTCACACTATCTCCAATTATCTCGGGTTCACCTTCTAGAGCAAGAAGAGAAGAAAAACATGCCAAATTCCTTCGTCCCCCAACGCTGTACTTCAACAGTCGTTCCCCCAGGACTGGGTTCATATCCGCCTGATAAGAAATCACTGTTCCGGAATTCATTACCAAAGTTACTTTTCTACGGTAGCAATCAACAATCGCACCGTACCTTGACAGCCAATCCATTCCGAGTACCACGTCAAATAGGCTCATCAGAAGGATAATCAAATCTGCTCTCAATCTTTCACCGCCAATCGTGATTTCACACGATTTACACACACTCAATACCTCCACACATCCCAGTGGAGAGTTCAAAGTCATCGGGACTTCTAAATTCTCATATTTCAGTTTCAAAGCCCGAACAAAAGAACTTGATATAAACGAGTGTGTGGCACCTGTGTCAAACAACACGTGAGCAAAAGAATGAGATATTATAATCATACCCTAAACCACCGCGTTGCTGGTCTGACCTCCAGAACTGCCTCCCGCCAGGGAATACGCTTGTCCATGTACTTTCCCTTTCCCTTTGTCACCGACATTAGGCCGTTGGGTCGGAGGCCTAGACTGTTGCGACGGAGGTGGTTGTACCGGTCTCGGCACTTGAGGCCGGAATTGTGTAAACAGAGGTGCTTGATAAGTCGGCACAGGAGGGTTTGACATCTGTTGTGGCTGATATGGTGGCATGTACAGTGGTGGCCCTTCTTGACTGTAGGAAGCGTCACTTTGGGCTTGTTGAGCCGGCGGCCGATTAGGACAATTCCTCCTAATATGACCCACCTGCCCACAATGGTGACACATGGGCCCGTATGGAGCACTTCTGTCACTTCCTGACGAACTACTGCCATCGCTAACCACTCCCCCACCAGGCTGTCCCTGGTTGCGGTTCCTTCTACCACTCCATTGTGGCCCGCCGAAAACAGATGGTCCCCCAGAAACTGAAACTCTTCCAGCTTGTTCTTTACTCTGGTGATAAGCTATGTTATCCTGCTCCACTCTAGTAGCAGCGGCCACCAAATCTCAGATATTCCGGATTCTCAAAGCTACCAATGGTCTCCTCACAGAGTTCTTGAGGCCCTTCTCAAACTTAAGACATCTAAGGTGTTCAGATTCCACCAGAGATGGCGCGAACCGGGACAGGTCATTAAACTTGGCCTCATACTCCCTTATAGACATGTCACCTTGCAGTAGAGACATGAATTCCAACGCTTTTTTCTCCCTATAACTCTAAGGGAAGTACTGCTCATTGAACAGTGTCTCAAATTGCTCCCAGGTCAGTCCTGTAACATCTATTCTTCTCTTGACCTATTTCCACCAAGTATTCGCTAAGCCCTCCATCTTGTATACCGCAAATTCCACCCAGTATTCATCTGGAACTCCCATAGTACTCAAATGCTTGACTATGGAGTCTAACTAGAACTCTGCTTCCTGGGGTCCTCCCTCACTATTAAACAAGGGGATAAGCGCACGCCTAAATTTCTGGAAGTATCCTTGCTTCCTATCCTCAACCGACCGCTCGTTTTGGGCTCTTGTGGCCATACCTTGAAAGGCAGCATACATGGCACCTAGAAATCCCTAATTCTGTTGTGCCGGTTGATTAGCGGGCCTACGGCGAGGTGTCATTTCCTTTAACTGAAATAAAACTAGACTGTTCAGTGGATTGCAGATGTCACACATGTATGTACAATCCTGGGGTTTCTTAACCTAAGTCTCTGATACCACTCCTGTCACGCCCCCCAAACGGGATGGGTGACGTGGAGCTCGATTAGGGGTTAATAAAGCAAATTCCCAGACGAGCCCCACTCAACTGCATTAGAATATAAATAAATTATAGAATTCCAGAGCCTTTGACACACATGGCTCCACCCCACAGGACATACAGTATCGTACATACATGCTCATGTAAATAATCATTACAACAGACATCAACCACAGTCTAGTTAATCTAAATATTACATAAGTTTACAGAATTTCTCAAATTTCTTACATTTGTCCAAGAGGATGACCACAATCCTCACTTGATCCAACAGCAGCACAACTCAGTTGCTCCATAGCAAATATCCAGCTACTGTGCACCACCCTTAAAATCTCCTAGGAGCGGTTTAATACATTTAAAACATAAAACGTGAGCGAAAGGCCCAGTAGGATGTTATTTACAAAGACGTAAAATAAATAAATAGAAAAAGTACAAGTAAATAAATAAATGGGTACGAAAATAAATAGACATTCAGTTCCAACAGATAGCCGGAACCTCACATCCTTTTACTCAAAGGAAATAAATGTAAAATCTCCATATTACAGGCTTCAGCAAGTAATTAGTATAAATTACTTACCTAATCAAGTGCCTCGCCTACCCATACCGAGTTTCGGGTTCTGCCTCTGAGGATGCACTCTCCGCATCCTATCTAGGCTTACATCAATAGACTCTATTACCAGTTCACAAGATCTCTTTGCTTAAGAAATCATTCATTAACTTTTCTGAAATCATTTTTATGACCCCACGAACTACTCAAGCCGTGGGCCCCATGACTGGGCAAGCCATGAGGTTCCATGACTAAACAAGCCATGGTTTCCAAAGCATTTTTCTTTCACAAGCCAATCCCTTTCTTTAAAACATTTTCAAGGCCAAAATCCTTTCGAAAACAGGTTCATAAGGAAAAGGGATAGAAATCCTACCTCACACTATCAAACCTGGGACTATCGTCGCCTTTTCCGGCTTCTGCTTCCTCAAGCCCCTTCAGTGTGAATTCTCAGTGATCACTGATACAAGACAACACTTTAGGATTAATTCTCATTCCTAAAGCAATCCAAATCTCAATTTCCAACCAAGATTTCCTATTAGTGTGCCCTAATCCATTTTCATGTTTCAATTTATCATTCCAAGGGTTTTCGATCTCAAAACACGGATTAACAATGCTAATCCATCTATCTCAAGTCTCCAAATGAAGCTAATTTGGGTTCTCCCCAAAAACAGGGGTCAAAACAGCATTTTCAGGCCAAACAGGGTCCAACCCGTGTCAACCGGTCGACCGGTGACAGAGCAGTGCAACACTACCGGTCGACCGGTAGTGTGCACACCGGTCAACCAGACTGGTCAACCGGTCAGCCTGTAATCCGGTCGACCGCATTGGTCGACCGGTTTCCATGTGATCCGGTCGACTGGTGGAATCAGCTGTGCGAGAGAAGCTCACAGAAATCAGTCCAAAAACCTGCAAATCGAGTCCCAAATCGAGATATTTCAAAGGAAAACCTTTAGATCTGGGTTCTAGGTCCTAAAACAAGTCCAAAGAACCCAAGATCTCCAATTTCTACTCTAGTTTTACTCAAAAACCATCAAAATCCGGTTTGAACCAAAAATAAGTTTTAAAATTTAAAAACTTGAGATTCGAGAGAGGTTCTTTCAGTAATCTTACCTTAAATCCTTCTCTTGACGTTGAAAACTTCTTTAAATCTTTCCTTGGTTCAAGATCCGTTTGATTTGGGACAAAAATGAGAGAGAGAGAGAGAGTGAGAGAGAGCACGGGAGAGTGAGAGAGAGATGCACGGGAAAGGAAGGGAAAAAGAAAGGAAAAGGAAAAAGAAAAGAAAAGGAAAATGAAAGAAAAGGACATGTGTACAATATTTTAAAACAACAGTTCAGAAATGCGCCCATACACACTTCTGGGTTAAAATAAATTACTGAGAATAATTTAAATACCTTGAAACTATTTAAACTCAACGTGTTAGAAACATTTATTAATTAAACTCAATTAATAATCCAGATTAGGCACACTAATAATCTCAATTATCTTAATTACTCTTAATTAATTTTTCAGGGTGTTACAGAATTAGAGCTTAATGAATGCACAATTAACTTAATTAATAGAGATATTAATTAGGTGATTTTTCATATATTTGACTCAACACTCGAGAGAGGGAGTTGGATTATTTTAGGAAATTCATAATTAATGTTTGGCTTGAGGGAAATCCATAGCATTAAAAATGATTAGAATAATTAGGCAATGTGAAATCAAAGACCCTATCTACCTTATCATTAGAGCTCCATCCGATCCCAAAAGTTTCTTCCATTGTTTAATTCGCTCATTTAATTAGTTTAGTATTTTATTTTTTGTTTTGATTGATCTCATTCTTATGTTGGACTTGTCTGGATAAAACTAAGTTATTCTAATTGCAATACTTAGCTAGATTTTAGGAACACAATCCTCGTGAGACACGATATTCACTCACTACTTTATTACTTGACGACCTCATGCACTTGCGAGTAAAAAATAGGTGTTATTTTCGCACCGATCAAATGGCCGTCGTCACCCAAAGGAAAAAAACCCCACTAGAAGCAACAATCGAAGCCCTCTTCGGAGCGAGGAAGAATATTTCTTCCTCTGCGCGTTTAATCCCCAAAATTTTCTTCCGCTGAGGGTAGAGAACAAGCCCCACTCGAATGGCCCTCATCACCCAAAGGAAAAAATCCCACTAGAAGCAACATTCGAAGCCCACTTTTTCACTCGAAGCCCTCTTTTTTCACTCGACGCCCTGAGAAGAATTCTTCCCTCATTGCGCAACAGTCCCGAATTCGAACTTTAAGGTTTAGATTTTTAGAAGAATTCCTTTCTCTGTACAAGAAGCATAGGTTTCTTCTGGTGAAATTAGCCCGATACAGGTATGGCATGAAATTCTTCGCTTCTTGAGCCGTAAACCGTTTTTCGTTTCTATTGCTTGTACGCTTTTGCATCTAATCTGTGATGAATATTGGGTTTTTTGGAAATTCCTTAGTTCTAGAAGGAAACCCTTAATCTCTTGGTCATAAAACGTTGTTCGCTTCTAATCTATTCTTTTCTTTTGTTATTTTTGACAGATTTGTGTACATTTGCTACAATCCTCAATCAAATCAAGGTATGTTCTGTTTCTTTGGGTTTTGTTTTCTCTGTCTTAAGTGAAGAACCATGTTTATCTTGATAATATTATCAATATTATTCTTCATACACTAGTTATCAATAGAATGCTTGTTTTGGATATGAAAATTTGAACTTTGATAGTAAATCTGGGAATGACTTCATTAAAGAGAGACAACTTTTGTGGTTGGAGGAGATTTGGGCTGATGGTTAGTAGATAGTGATAACTATTGACACGTTCAATGTTTTTATGTTTTAATTTGAATGTTCCTATTTAGATATAAGATGTTGTTTGGAATCACCATATATTTGAATGAATTCAAAAGGATATTAACATAATAAAAGTAGATAGGACGTTAGTATGTATTACTTTTAGTATTGATAAAATATTCAATAATAATTTTAAAAAGCTACAAGAGTATGAACATAATAAGGGAGAAAAGCTATTGATCTGTATCGTAACAATGCTAAATAGCTGTAAGAGGTTAAAAATAACATGTCTAAAATGTTATAAGACCTCAATTATGTAGCGTTTTTCGTATCATTCTTAGAATGTTATGTTTTCGTAGGACTTTTAATAGCGTTTGATGTCCTAACGTTCCACAAAACGCTATTGGTAGTGCTTAATAATTTTTTTAGTTAGCTATTGATAATGATATTTGTTGTAGTGGCATAGGCTACAACCCTTCTGACGAACTGATTCTTCCACATGTGGTCGCAGAAGAGGTATGGAATAGCTATTACTACACCAACTTGCAAGAGAGAATTAGGGGCGCAACTAATTGACAGCTAAGACGTACCGACTATCACCGGTGGCTGTGACACTGTTCAGTGGCAATGATGCAATTAAGGTGGTATAATTGTGGTGAAGGAGACATTTTATGAGCAAAAAAGGATTTTAAAGATCCCAAAAAATGGTTGATTTCTAGTGCCTCAACGACAAGATAACATCAAGGGATTGCAGGGAAACATTTTAGCATCTACAAAGTAATACGTCAATGAACAGTGCTGTAGACCGGGTTTTTTTTAGTTATGAAAAATTACACATTTAACCACCAAATTATAGGCTGTCACAAAATGGCCCCCAAACTTAATTTTGTAATATATGTTCACCACGAATTTGTGAATTATTGCAAATTCTCCCCTATGTTAAGTTTTCAGCATAAAATAACATGTGGCGTGCTTTTTTGGGAGGAGTTTAGTATTGAATGTGCAATTACAAAAGTGCCCTTGAGAATTTTATTTTGAACATTTATTATACGACAAAAACATTCAAAGTAATTCTTAAACTTGTCTTAAGTTGAAAAAGCATATAGCAGATAAACCTTTCACAAAAGTCTTCCGTCTTAACCTCTTTTTCATTGTTGTTGGTACTGTTATTCTTACTTAAGACAATACTTTGCCGCTCAATTTTGGGCAATTCACTTGTCAAAATTGCTTTGTTCCCTTCAACCGAAAGGATCATGAATAATTGATGATGAAATGATCACTTTAGTATTAAACGTTTCGTTGAAAAAGTAAAATTCTGTTTGATTTCTGTTGTGTGGGAAAATATGAATGACGCGTGGACAAACAACAGTGTGACACGTGGCCTTGCTTTCCCTCAAAAGGCAACAACCCTCGACGTTAGGGACTCCCTTCCCCACTGCTGCAGAGGAAGCCCAACTTAGGATGACGACTCTTCATGACGACGACATGTCGTACTATCGGCCTTACGGCGGGAATCCTTCGGGAAGAAATCAACTGCTAAGAAAGACAACTAGGCTGAGCAAATAGAGACGGCCAGAGGAATGTCCGAAGAGGGGAAAGCCTGACATCGCAAGTTGCGTGCGGAAATGGGAGATGTCTGCAGTACAGGCATTAAATGCAAACCCTTAAACCGTCCTACGGGGTACAGAAAAGGGTTATAGGTACGTACAGAGTTGTAATGAGAGACTAATTGGTTGAGTGAACAGTTCACAAAAGTGATTAGTGGGCTACGGTCTGGGCCTAGAAAGGCAGACCACTTGAGTGCTTTTCTGCCTACAAAGAAAACCCACCCGACGAAGGAAGCTCGGCTATAAAACGGGGGAAGCCTCATACATGAAGGAGGTTGGTTTTTCCTGAGAGAAAAGAATGAGAGAGCAATTGTCAGTGTAAATTGTAACAATCTCAAAAGGAATAGAAAACTATAGTGGATGTAGCTCTTCATTTATAAGAGTGAACCACTATAAATTTTGTGTGTTTTTCTACTTCAAGTATTTTTTCTCATATTGTTCACTACACAAAAAATACCACAAACACTTCACTGCCTATATTAAGTATACAGTCAATATTAAGCAGGTAATCCAACGGGATACCAAGTGGTGACCTTGCCCATTTCTGTTGGCGAGTTTTCACCGTCAACATAAACTATCTACATCCACTTTGGTAGAACAACATAGCTCCACTATAGGAGCTATGGAGGTTGATTTTGGGCGTGTTAGTTTACCAGGTCGTGGATTTTTTTTTTTTTTTGGACATTAACTAGTTTATTGATTTTTAGTAGATAAGGAAAAATGGAAACAAAAAGATGGACGAAGCAAAGGTATTATGTTAACAAGTCGTCGATTTTTTCTTTAATTTATTTTTTAAGGATAACTAGGTCTCGATACTTGTGGTTATGCTGTCGATAAGTATCAGCGTATTACTAACACATAAGTGTTGGTTTCCGAAAATAATAAAACTTTTTCCACATAAGCGGAAGAGTGTATGATGCGGATCGTGTATGACAAAAATTTTAATAAAACTTTGAGATACTCTATACATTACATTAATTTATGCATGAATAAATTAATCAAATTAATTTATTTACCTAGCAAACGATTGGGTCAATAACTTGAGTTCTTTGATCTCGAACGTTCCTTACTCCAAGCTAGTTTAGAACACCCACGTCGTCAATTCTTAGCATCTATGAAAACATGTGTGTGGGCACACCTAAAACAAAACAGAATTAAGAAATAAAGACTCAATTTTTTCACGAACACCAAAACATGCACGACGTGGAATTTGAGAGAAAAATTTTCCTTTCCACACTATATGCTTAGAAGAGCAAAAATTGTTTACTCTCCTTTTCTGCAATCTCCTATTTATAGAGTAGTAGTCAGACTCCTAGAAGAAGTCTAATCTTTATTTCTAAGATAAAGCTTGATAATTATCTCCCATTTCTAATTTTGATTTTCAAACAAAATCCAGTCTCCCTTATCGATATGTTGGCCGGCCACCCCAGGGAGATTCCTCATTTTATGAATATCATTTTATGTGCATATATTTGTAAATATTTTATGAATATCAATGAAAATTCCATGATTATTTATATGACCTTAAACATTGTACATAAGTGTTATATGCGAGAGGATAATGTTTAAGGATAATAATCAAAAAGCAATGTTCGTAATAAATTTAATTAAAGTTCGGAATCTTTAATTAGAACATTACTAATACATGTCATTCCCATTTTAGAATGGAACGGTGTTATCCGCACTGTTAATATGGCAAGATATTGAATGAGTGTATTACGCATAATGAGATTATGTTGAACACGGACACAGACACAATACGAATTTCTAATAACTTCTGTTAAGTATAGAAATTCTAATTGAGTCTATCAATGGTCATATATAGAATAATCTTAATCTTGAGTTCTTAACAAACTCCTACTTATGAATTTGTGTCTTTTGATTTACTCAGCACGGATTATGAGATCTGAATCCTATTCTTTGCATTTTGGAGACATGATGAAGTAGGTAGCCGGAAATGTTATTATACGAGATGGAATCCATTCCTTCTTGAGAAATAAGCAGATAAATAATTCTCTTGAGTGTTGATTCGGTACTTGGATTAGTAAGAGCACTTTGGTTCATGAATGTGTTTTATGTATCACTATCCATTAGAGAATCAATGTTACTCAAGGATGAAGATATAATTAGAGAGGTTAACGAATTTTACCTAACTCTAATTATGAATTATTTATGGAGGATTGATCTATATCTAGTGACTATATCAAATGGGCACTTCACATTTTAGAAGTAATTTATGTCTATAATTTTGAGAGTGAAATTCTAAGTTTATAGTGGAGTAACTATTAGAATTAATGGAATTAATTAATTAATTAAAGTGTTTAATTAATTATTAATTTTATTAGAGCTCGAGATTATAGGTCCATTAGTTCCCGCGTCGTCTTTGTATTTCTACCAGACACAAAGGACAAAATGAGAATTTTAGAATTATAGAATTCTAAAAATTAAACACTTGAAATAATTAATTATTATTTAAATAATATGATTATTTAAATTTGAATTTGAACATATCTAGATTTATCCATTTACACTTATTTGATAAGTTGTTCGATTTAGAATTCAAATTAATTTAAGTTTGACTTAAATTCGAATCAAAATTGGACTGTAGGATAAATGATGATTTTCTCTTTCTTCCCTATCTGTATTTGGCGCTTACCACTGGGATAGGATTACCTAGGTTGGCCGGCCATCTTCAGGATAAGGAGTAGGAGACTTTCGTTTCAAATTCAAATAGGAGATAATTAATAAGCTTTATCTTGGAAATAGAGATTGGATTCCTCTAGAAGTTTGACTTCTACTCTATAAATAAAAGAATGATAGAAAATTGTGAAACACAATTTTTAACCTATATTTTATATGGTGGTCGAAATTCTCTAGTATAGTGAGAGGAAAATTTTATCTCCAAAAATTGTACATCGTACATGCATCGGTGTTTGTGGAAATTTGAGTGTTTATTCTAACCTGTTTTGTCTCAGGTGTGCCCACACACTTGTCTTCGTAGATTCTAGGAATTGACGTGGAAGACATTGGTTTTCTAAACACAAGGCTTTAGAGCAAGGATTGTTTAAGGTCAAAGAACTCAAGTTATTATCCTAATCATCCGTCAAGTGTTATTCGTAATTGAGTTCTTAATAAATGAATTAATATGATTTATTTATTCATGCATAAATTAATATAATCTATAGAGTATCTCAAAGGTTTTATGAAAATTTTTATTATACTTGATCCGCTATCCCCACACTTCCGCATCCGAATTCGATTCGGAAACTAACAATTAGTATCAGAGCGATCTATAGACGATACTAATTTATGCTCCGATTATGTGATAATCAAAATTAGTATATTAAATATGTGATATTTAATTATGTATGTGATGGGTAGGCACTTGCATTTATGGATTTTTATATTTAATTCATGTTGATGAATGTATGGATGGTAGATTTGGTCGTTAATTATATAGTTCTATGGATCGCATTAAATTGTTCAAATAAATTATTTGTAATTTTTATTCAGGATTAGAATTATTGTAATTCTAGGGTTTGGGTAAATTAGGGTTTTGATTTTGAGTCAAAAGAAGCCCGGAAAATCGCCCCATGCAGCCCCGGACACCCAGCCAGAAAACTGCCCAGAATGCCTCGGATAGGACAGCCCTATCCGTGCACATGACAGCCCTATCCGCGCCCAGGACAGCCCTATCCGCGGCCAGGACAGCCTCGTGCATGCCCCGAACAGCCTAGACACTTCCAGTGGACTCCGATTGAGCTTGAGAGTTTCTGAAACCCTTGTTTTGGGTACCGAAGGACCTGGAAGAGTTCCGAGCCCTGAAGGAGGTGGAATCTAACCCGAAGACGAAGAATGAAGCCAAAAAATGAAGAATTCAAGAATCGAAGACCCGTTGTTGTAACAGAAGAAAATAATTATTGTAATTATTTATTTATTCAATTTGGTTGTAATTTATATTTTCTATGGGACCCGGTCAAATCCATCTTAATAGCCGATTGCATATATTTATATTTTATGTTGATAATTATATATTATATGTCCATGCATATAACATGCCATATAGATATAGTATGCCTACTCATATGTTTTATAACATATTATGCATACACGCACATTTATTATTATTTATTTTAAAAGAGTTTTAGAAAAATAAAATAAAATAAGACATTAATGGCTAATTTTTCATTTTGTTGTTCTGCCTTGCATTGTTGCAGCATTGCTGTAGCATCCTGTTCCGCGGCAAAAATTTTCAGCTTTAAGTCTCCCACTTCATCTTCGTTGCTCTCTTCTTCGTGGATCAAAGGGGGCTCTTGTTGTTGTTTAGGCTCATCCATAGGCATGTCAATCTCTTTCCCACTCCTCAAAGTGGTTGCTTCACCATGGTCCTTGCCTTCTTGCCTAG